TATGCACTTGACTTTCAGTGGACTGTGGAAGGAAGAAAGGGGGTTGCACACAGAAGGTATCACTGTTCACAAACTGTCCTAAGGGCCACCTGAGGCCAGGACAGTTTGAATGGAATATCACAGTAATGACGAAAGAATGTATTTTATTGTTTGTGGCTTTTCCCCCTTGATATTTTTCACTTCATTAAAAAAAAAATCACTCAGTATTCTGTTTATAAAACTGTAGAGGAACAGGAAAAAATAATATGCTTTTAAACTTTTCTGCGTGCATTTCTGGGAGACAGAATTTCTGAGTACTCCTAGCAGAGCTTTGCGAAAGCTAGCCCTCAGCAGCTCCTCTCCTGGACATCAAGGGGTCAAGGTCCAGATCCTCAATTTCTTGTCTTCCATTCCTTCCATTCCAGGATGGAAGGAAGTCCATCCTGGGTTGCTGCTTCCTTGCAATATATCACCGTGAATTCTTTTTATGACCTTATGCCTTCTCCTGCCCTCTGCTGTACTCTGGTCTAGTCTCAACTTCCTGCAAGAGGGATTTTCCTCTTAGAATTGTGTCCCCCTTCCATCTTTCTAGATCACCTCTATCTGGAGTTACCAATCTAGTGATTCCTGTCTTACTCAGATTTTCTCAAAATAATAATAAAAGAGTAGTAAACAAATTAATGGTAAAAATATATTCTTTTAAACAAGTACAAAGAAATAAAAGTGAAAAGTTTTTTAATGTTCATGATTATCTGCAATGTGTTTAAGGGTATGAAAGAATGACTGAAGTTTTACTTCATACCTTTATTTAAAGTCATAAATCATATATGGTTTGAGAAAATACTGTATTACCATAATATTAGCCTCAGACTATAGTAATGTATTAGCTGCAAAAGTTTATTAGAAAGTAAGCATGATTATTTCAAAGAGGTAAGAAGGAGTAAGAATATCTCTCTGCATTAGAGGTTCACTTTGATTCACTTTACTTTGACTATTCCTAATTTTCATGTTCAAGCTTAGAAAAGCTATGACAGTCATTAAATTTGAGGATGTTTTCCTTATTTACTCAAGTACATTTTTGACAAATCATTTATCTGTTCTTTAATAACTTGGCTCTTTGGCAAGTTTATATGTACGTCATTTTCATCCTAACTGAAATTTCTCATGTCTTCAGAGGGAAAAGAAAAGGGGGCTATTTGGCCTTAATTGAAGATAATATACTTGAAGTCTAGAAATTTCAAATGAATACAGTGTGCCTCTCTTTAATATCCCCCTGGTCCAAGGAACTCTGGCCAAGAACTCTAGATAAAGGGCTTCACAAGTCTTGCTTGAAGAAGTTCTTGCCATTTGAAGTAGAATGGAAGAAAAAAAATGTAAAAAGAATATATCTAAAAGAAGTAGGCTTTAAGAAAGAATTTGTATTATATGAAAATTCTACTGGTATTATGAAACTTCAGTAATCCAGAATATGGCATGCCCCCTTTGGAATTGGGGTGGGGGAGGGAGTCAGGGACTAAATGTCCTTTAAAAAAAAAAACCACAACTTCTAAGACAGCATAACTTTACTATAATATATTGTTGAAAGAAACAAAATCTGAATGAAATGCAAAGTGACTGGTACCTCTTTTATGACCATTGGACTAAAGAAGATAATGGACATCATATATTTACTGTTAACTTGAAATTTGTCATGGGCCGAAGAATTTTTAGTAATACCATATGTCAATATATAGCCTATGAAATAGGTTTTAATCATAACACTATAATAAAAATTGACTGTGTAATAGTGTATGTTTGTATAATTAAACTGTTCACATGATAAAAACAAATATTTTATAAATAATCCTTTGGATATTAAAAAATCAAAAAATTAATTAATGGAAAAGCAAATACGTATGTATGTATGTGTACATATGTGTGTATGTATGTGTGTATTTTGCCAAGACTTTAATAATCAAGAAACTACCCTGTGATATCATCTGGATCATATCAGTAGCTCAGAAACACAGTGTTTCTCAAAATGCAAAGACCATTTTAATGCAGGAAAATAGGTAAAACTTCAGTCATAAATAATAATTTCATAAGATTTCCCAATTTGTCAAGGTGTTTTACTACTTTTGTTGTAGGTTCAGATTAAGAAAGAGAATGTTAAAAAGTTCTGTGGGAGAGAAGAATAATGTCGATCATGATGATAGAGTATTATCATATAATTTTTCACCCTCAGAAAAATTTAATAGAAATTACTCTGAATAATTATAAGGGAAAGTCACAGGAACTTATGATTGCTTTTTTTTTTTACATCTCTGAAGAGTCTCAGGAGAAACCACTTAGCATATACTACACTTTGCTATTACTGTCAGTACAGGCTGGAATCATTAAAATATGCTAAAATGTTGGTATGATTTGTCTCTCCATAAATACTCCATCAATCCCAAATCTTGTATCTGATCATCATGGTTAGTGAAATTAATTCAATGCTCTGATATTTCGACTATTGGTGGGAAGCTCTAATCATAAACTTGTAGCTTCATGTAAAGATTAATGAAACAATTCCACTCAAAAACACTGAGTACAGTAATCCACTGTTTAATAGGGATGCTACAATTTAATTTTTAAATGTGGTCATGACTTAAGATATTAAATTATCATTTTAATTAAAGGTAAAATGAACTAAGGATTTAAATCTAAGTGGAAACATTTCCAGAAAAATTGCAGTTCTTCTAACACATTTTATCTGGAAATCATTTACTCATATTTAAGTAAAATTTAACTTAAACAAGATGTTTTCCACTATAAATGTCTTTACATAACTTTTCCATTGACTTTTAAGTCTGTATGCAAGCTCATTATCATATATGGCAGTAGGCTATCAAAGACCATTATTTTATATGATCATCACGAGATAAAGGAATACCGAATACAAACCCTTATCACAATCTAAATTTTTGTTTTAAAGTTTATTCATTTTATAGGATCACTTTTTTCAAGGATATACATTTTATGTGCTGATCTTAGCACAATTTACTCTCAGTTCTAAATATTTTCCTGAAACAAACTTTAATAAAGGGAAAAAAGACCTCCAAGAAAACAATCATTGGAAGAATGGAGAATTATCAATATGATGTTATTATCTTTGTTTGCTTTTTTTCCTGAAAGACATTTTGGGCTAGAAAATACTTTGACTTTTTCTAATTTTATTGGCTTTCAAATTTAATACTGCTAAAATAGGAGAAAAGTAATCCTGATAAATGTCTGAAGAGCTATAGTAGATCTCAGAGAACCAGGCCACATGGAAATCAAGTGACTTATAATAACATCACATGGAAATGAGATATTTTGTGACTTTTTATCTTCCACTAACCAGTGCATTATAAAGACATAGCTGTGCAACTTCACTTTGAGTACTGATTGAGAAGTTCCTTTTTTTGGTCTGAAATATATTATACCCCAAAGAAAAAAGCACATACACACACACACACACACACACTCCTACGTTTATATGAAGTCAGTACATTTAAATATGAGTTTAAATTATATTATTCAATTCAACTACCTTGGATATTTAATTTGTCCTCAAAATATAAATAGTTTAAAATAAAATAAAAGTAAAAGGAAGTATTGTCATTTTAATAGCAACATAAAAAGTGAGATATTTTATATGCTTTCTTTTTATATCCTCAAAATCTAGTATGCATTTTGCACATAAAATAAACCTCAGTTCAGACTAATCATAATTTTAGTACTGAATAGCTACATGTGGTTAGTGGTTACCTAATGGACAGTATAGTTTTAGAAGATGTCATTACTCTTGCTTTACAATTGGAATTTAGAGAATATTTTACTAATACCCAGCAGAATAAATAAATGCCTACAGAAATGAGTGCTCATGATAGTATAAATTTCTCATTGAATCTACTAAATAATAACCATAATCTTTCTTACATAATAAAAGAGTTCCTTAATAGAGTTTTCTTATTAATCAGATACAATATTTAATAGAGTTATAGACCACATATTTATTGTGAGTTTCTAAAAAATTTCATATATAGTAAATATACTAAACGCAATCTTGCATTATCACTGTTAAAGTTGGCAACAGTTCCACCTAGATTTGCATGATTGTGTGTTATGAGGGTATTTCTATATGTATAAAATATATTCTCTATTAATATATAAACTTTATTACCTACATATTGCAAACACTAATATGTGACATTGTTTGAGAATGAACTTTTGGTCATTCCAGAAATATGCAAGCTCACTTAATAATTCTAAATCACAGATAGCTCTCCAAGAAATTTCTGATGGAATCTAGTACAGGATTTAGTGGTAGAAGTTGAATAAATATTACTTCTTAAAATTTTAAATTTCATTGGAAAAGCAATTATCTGGGTCTCAGTCATATCTCCAAGTCAAGTATGGGAAGCCTATTTTAAACCCTGCTGATCTCTGGCAATCTGAATAATAATTATGATTTTTAAATGTGGAAGTTCAAGTTTTAAGGAGGATATGCTATATTGACCTATTTAAGACTGGACAGTGTCAAGAGTAATTCAAATCAATGAAACTAGACAGAAGTTTAGGATGTCAGCAAGGAGAGAAATTATTATGCCTAAATGTTGTAGAAGCATAAAATGGTTTTAGAAAAAAGATGGAAAATACTTGCAAATAGTAACTCTTTTTGCTAGTTATAAAAATAAAGACATTTTAATAATTTGGGATTTGGTGACTTCTCTTATTTACAAAAAAATAGTAATGTTATTTTGAGTTACAGACAAGAAAGTAATTTCCAGAAAAAAAAAGCCCATTAAAATTTTAATTAAAATAATTAAAACAGATCATTGCAGCAGGGAGTGTTCAGTACTGGTCAGGTTATATAAATCATCACTTTGTTTTTTAATCACAATGACACCACTTACCCAACTTTTTGCTTCTATCTTTACTCTCCTGGTAAAATCATTATGTGTTTAAAGGGAGAGAGAACAGAACAGGTAAAGCTGCAGCAAAAGGTACAAGGATACAGTCCCTTCCTGGAAAGAGGATTTTGTGGCGAACCATTTCTCCCATAATGCATCCCACAGACCATATATCCACTAGAACAGGAGAGAGGGAAGTGAAGAAAAGGGAGGAAAGTAAAGTTAACTAAGATAATTGATCTCTGAAGGAGGAGGAAAAAAGAACAGTTTGATTAGAAGGTACAATTTTTGTCTCCCACCAAAAGTTACACCGAAATCAAAACCAACACTGTAATAGTACATTAGCAATGTTTAGTATGAGAACTCATATTAATTTTTGAAAATTACGTTATGAGTACCTCAGATCACCTCTGTAGTGCCAGTGCCAAAGAGGTGACATGGAAAAACAGAAACGACACCAAATGCATCTCCATAGCAGGTGGTGGCTAAAAGAGATAGGGGGTTTTTGACTATTTGCTGGATATAGCAAAAATAATTTTAATCAACCTTTTCCATTTTCTATTCTACTCAGTTACGTGGAATAGGGCAACAAGAGACCACTCTTTTGTTCCCTTGTTTTTGTTTGTTTGTTTGTTTGTTTGTTTTTTTAGTTGGTTCGTTCAAAACAATGTACACGCAAGCAAATCCAAGAAACTAGGAAACGGCTAGAACCGTGGTTTAAAGGCAGGAGTATTGGAATTCCTGGTGTTTGGGACTTAGTTTTTCCTTCAGAAGTTATCCTTGTAAATAAACATCAGTTTTAGTTTCTATTTGAAGTATTTCAAGAACAAAGATATGATCAATTAGCACATGTATAATGGAGTCATCTGGAAGTAAAGTGTAAAGGTATTAAAAGTGTTTAAAAATTGTTTTGTTTGTGGGACGCCTGGTTGGCTCAGTTGGTTAAGCGGCTGCCTTCGGCTCAGGTTGTGATCCCAGCCTCCTGGGATTGAGTCCCGCATCGGGCTCCTTGTTCAGTGGGGAGCCTGCTTCTCTCTCTGCCTCTGCCTGCCATTCTGTCTGCCTGTGCTTGCTCTCTCTCCCTCTCCCTCTGACAAATAAATAAAATCTTAAAAAAAAAAAAAAATTGTTTTGTTTGTTTGTATTGTTTATTTCTCAATTGTCATACTTGTTAACCAAACATGCTTCACCTTCTCTTACCAATCTTTACCGTCTTCCAGCTTGCTTTTTAGTAAGGACCAAGGCAACTTTGGGGCAAAAACATTAGGCTGAAATGTTTTTTGGGGAAGGAAGGCAGGGTTAGGTGCATGGGATAGCTGGGCATGCCTGATAGAGGAACAAGCGGGTTTTCTGCATGATAACCTTCCTCTCATAGGCAAGAGGGCAGCACAAGGGTGCTAGCTATGCCTTCACAGATCTAGAGAAGTAAAAAAAAATTAAGGCAGTAACTTGCAACCTTTTCTGGTGAGGGAGGGAAAAAGGAGGAAATTACATGCCATTTGTGCAGCAAAGATCCATAACACCATGATAGGAAAACTCAGACCCTACCCCCAGAGCTCTGTAGATGTTTGATGTCTTGATTTCTTAAAATTGGTTCCCCTTTGATTTTTTTTTTACAAACAGCCGGTGAAAAATGTATACAAATATCTTCTTTTCCAAATAAGTTAGATGTGATATTAGACCTTGGGAAGAGGAGTAGATTTGCCTCTTCCAAGTTAAAAGGTAACAGAATCCTGCCATCGTTCACCAAAATGAACCTGACCTTCCTAAGACCTGACTTCTCCCTTTCCTCTGCACAAATGCACAGAAGTATTGGCCTTCTTCTAATCTGAAAGTACACAAAGAAAGTTACTAAAACTTTGGTGGCCAGGGAATTTTCATAAATGCACCCTGTAGAACCTGCATGTAAAAATAAATGGATAATTTATAATTTTATAAATTATAAAATTTATAAAAATAGACTGCTAGGAATTAAATAGAATAAAACATAAAGTAACCATGCAAGATACATTGAGCACATACATCCAATCCTAATTTACAACAATTTTAATTCTTATATATATTAGATATATTTTTTAATATGTTACATTACTTGTTAGAGGTAGTCTTTTCAAAATAATATATGGCAATGCATTCTAATAGATGTTTTATAAAGCCTTTAATAAAATCAAATTGCAATGCATTTTGAAGATTCTTTTCTTTAAAAGTGTTCATGAATACTAGATTTTTTTAATGAAAGCAATAATATAAAATTGAATATTTTCTCCATAATTTGGAACTTATAAAAATTTACTAGGTATTTGCTATCCTAAATATTACTCACAGAGCAGTTTAAGGGATTAAAGAAACTCTTATCCAACTTGAACAATTTGGATTATTCTAAATTGACTATTCTTTGAGCATTTATAAGATTCTTGCTCCAAGGATTTGTGACATCTTTTTGTCTTTTCCTAGGACTAGAGCCATCAACCTAAGATAGCTACAATGCCAAATGGCTTAATGCAAAAGACTATTTCCTGTATTCATACTCACTTAGAGCTAAGCTGCAACTCAGATAGCAATTTGTCTCAATAACTCCAGCATATGTGCTAATCAATACCTGCTTGACTGTTTAATCAGATTCTATCCACAGTTCTTTTTGGCCATAACATGTTAGTGCTCGTATGGCAAAGCTTACTTTTCAGAAACATCCTTCTCATTTTTAACGAGTGATTCTTCCTAGTAGTATTTTTAAAAACCTTCTAAATATGAACGTTGGCAGTCCTATTAAAAATATATATACATATACATGAAAGAACATTGCCCTTGGCCATCTAACATGTATACACATTTTCTTCATGGTTTCTGTGACTGCTGTGCCGAAGCCTTCTTACCGTTCTCCTTGTAGCCCATTCCCAGAATAACCTCGGGGGCTCTATAATAACGTGTGACCACATAAGGAGTCATCATGAAGCTCGTGCCTGCCGTCCTGGCCAGTCCAAAGTCGAGGATTTTCAATGTACAATCAGACTTGACTACAATGTTACTTGGTTTTAAATCCTGACGATAGGAACAAGAGAAGAAATTAAAAGCCAGCAGCAAATAAAACATATAATTTCTATCTACTCAATCAATATGGCAGTCTTGCAATAGTACTGTTAGGGCCCCCCTCCTTGACTGCAAAGCGCTATATGAAGCAAATGATTACTGCTCTGAAAGAAGTTTACAATTGGTTTTTTGATATTTTTAAGATATCTTCAAAAACTTCTTAAACCCAGAAAAGAATTAGACTATCAATTTTATAATTTAGACTCATCTTGGGAGGAGGTTTTAGAATAAATGACATATCATTTTTTTCATTGTTAGGTTTCTCCTTGTGGCAACATAGACCTTTCAGCTTATTTTTCATTTCTAGGCCTGACAGAAGAGCAAATCAGGGAAGCTGTCTTTATGCTGCCAGAGACAAATTGTGGAAATGAACAGTCTTATTTCAGCTGCACATATGACCTCTGCCAATCAAGGGACTAGAAAACATGAAGCTTCTCAGAAGTTGACTCTCAATGCACTGAAACAAAATGCAAAACAAAAGCAGCTACAGTATCACTTAAATTTTCTTCTACACATTAGTGAACTTTGTGCTAATTCTATTTTAAAAGAAATGAGGAAGTAGATTATATTCAACTTACCCTTTCTACATAAAGAAAATAACCTACAGTTGCTCTTTCTTTTCTCCAGAAATACCTTAATTATACTTCTGGAGGAGGTGGTCTTACCCTGTGAATAATTCCAGCAGAATGAAGATGCTTGATGCCACACAACATTTGGTATAGCAGGTAAGACATTCGCTCGTGGTCTAATTCCATCTGAATCACCTGACACAGGTTGGCATCCATCAGTTCCATGACTAAGTAACTGGAAAGTAAATCCACAAGGTTAGTTCTAAATCACAAGATCTGTGAAGTCCTTCAAAGAGGTCAGAATCCCCTCCTAAATCCGTAAGTCTTCCAAACTTCCCAGCTCTACCTTTGACCGAATTAAGATTATGAAAAACTTTCATGTATTGCCCACATGTTAGCCATGCTAACTCTACCACAAGGTTACTAGCAGAAGTGGCATTTATTAGTGTGTGGTTTCTGCTCATATATTTTCTATTTTCCCCCTACCCATATGTTTTCTACCTTCATCTTGTCCTCACTTTTCTTCAAATTCCCTGAATTCTTTCTTCAATATTATGATTACAAATAAGAAAAAAAAATCAGAATAGCATCTTCCACTAAATGCCATGTATCTGTGTCAAAGAAGACAACGTACTAAGATTCATTTTCTCTCCTCTGTTATTGTCACTTTACTTTTAGATAGATTCTTTTTGCACAAAATCAAAGGTACCACAGAAATAGAAATAAGGACTTTTAAATGATTTTTAACATGGCCGTCTTATAATTTATTTCTCAAAGTGAATAGAGTCATTCTAGAAAGCTCAAAGTCGATTAATAATAAAAATACATAATAATAAATCTTCTCTGATTAAATCAAGAATATTGGACAATAAAGCATAAGCACCAGAAGACCAGACAGAAGCAGAAGTGTCTTTCCAGGAAGTAACACCAGAAATAGAATCTTCTGTTCCATCACTGGATCTTTTTCATTTGCTATTAGCTCTTATCTCCCTTCAATCCCTACAAGGGATTTCATCCATTGATTTTGTCAATTTCCCTTGAGTTGTTTGAGTGCTATGCTCTCCCTTCCTTCATGAGTTTTGTTACTTACACATCTTGGAACTCCTCCAATGTTTTCTGGGGTGTGAAGACATTTAATAAACTAATAATCTGGAAACAAAACAGTGGAAGGGACAGAGGAAGGAGAGAAAGAAAAAGGGAGAGAATTAATTATTTAAAAAGCATATTTAAATGAGTATTTAACTCAACTCAAAGTCATACACTAGTGCTACCATAGAAAGAGAAAAGTTGGAAAAAAATTTCTGCAACAGTCTCACAGAACACAGAAAAATGTATTCAGAAAGGATACATGATGTATGTCTTCAAGTTAAATATAATTAAAAAGCTTAAGTTCTTAGACAAAAGGAGGAGTCAGAGAAGGTATATAATTGAAATATTGCCTAGAGTGTGCTCCTCCTTGGTAGAATACAGAGTAGTAATTAACAAACAAAAAAAGAAGAAAAGCCATGTAAGAAAATGGGCAGCAGCAAAACACCCACCAAGATGTAGCAAGGTCATGTTTTTCCTCCAAATGAATGAGGTGGTTCTCTAACTTAAGATTTTTTTGTGTGTTGCTATTTGGTTTTTTGGCTTCTATTTCACACACAAATATTATTTAAACTAAGCTATAATGATAGGTTGGGAAAAGGTATATTCTAGATGCTATCACTGTGAATTTTTGTGGAACATATATTTAAAAATTTATCAAAATTCTGTTTCTTAAATGTTTTGTTTCCTGTTTTGTTTATTTTATGTATTAGGTAGCAAAGAGGTTTACCCTCTAACATAAGTAAATTAAAAAAAAAAAACTTTGTCACATTTCCAAATATACTGCATATATAAACAACTCAAAATATCCTTTCAGCTAAATATTCTCTACTAATGTGCCAGTACAAAATAAAAATTTTAAAATATGGATAACAATCTTCTACTCATAAGATAGAATCAACTATTTCACAAAAACTGGACAAGAACAAGTTTCAGATTTAAACATTTTAAGCTATGAATTAATAAATTTTAGTAAATTTTATGAGTGGTATGGAAACATATGAAGTGATTTTAAATATCTGAGAAATGCAGTCAAATCCAGGGAATGCTTTAGGCCACATGTAGCTTGCATTTGTTGAAGAATTATTGACAAAAAAATCACAAAGTATCTTACTCTGTAAACTGATAGTGTTATGCTGAAAAATGTCTTTGCGATACATCTTTCATTGTGTATATCACACGTATTTGGTGGGCCATTTTTCTAGTATTTCATCAATCTTGCAAATTAATTCATTTTTGTATTTGTTCAAACAAAATCATTAGAGACTGTGCACAGGCACACACACACACACACACACACACACACACACACCCCATACACAAACAACCCTTAAATATGGAAAAATGTTAACCTGTATCACTTGGAAAATGAATAATCTAGCTAGTCCAAAATTAATTTAGACAATAGCATTACAATTTTGCGTAAATCAAGATTATTTTAAAAGGTAACTTCTCCACTATGTATTCTTATTTTCCCATTTCCTAGTCCCTTGTTTTATAGCTTCATTTTCTCTGATTTCCCTCTATTCTTTCTCCCTTGTAAATTCTAATGTCTTCTACTAATCATTTGGAAACTGTGTCATTAAAAAAATCACATCACAGGTATTTTCATTTTGTTTCAACAATTTCACACAGGAATCTGATTAGGTTCCTTTATTCTAGCATCTTTAAAGATTTTTTTTTTTTTTTTGACAGACAGAGATCACACAGGAGAGAGGCAGGTGGAGAGAGAGAGGGGAAGCAGGCTCCCTGTTGAGCACAGAACCCAATGCAGGGCTCAATCCCAGGACCCCAAGACCATGACCTGAGCCGAAGGCAGAGGCTTAACCCACGGAGCCACCCAGGCACCCCTATTGTAGCATCTTAAAATGCAGATATGAATCAGTGTTTTTTCTGGCCCCACAATCACATTAGCTCTCACTTCCTAGAATTAAGCATTCATTTTCTAAATGCATTCTCTTCTCTATTATTAAAGATTTAGTTGGGATTACTTTAATGTTTTACTTTACTTTCCACAGCATTTACAGAGTTCTGAATTCTGACTGCTTTTATTTAGTATCACAAGTACGAATGTGGAACTTCCATTTGGTTGTGAGTGAACTTCCTTTCTGTTAATGAGTTCCAGAAAATTAGTTCCACAGACGTGCAGAAGGGCACATTGACATACACAAAAGGGGGGTAGCAGGTAGAAAGCCATTTACAAATAATCCTTTCAATTGGGAACTTCTTTTTAGGTATCATAAATGTGAACCTCTACATTTCAGTCAAGAACAGGGAGTAGGATTCCCTCAAATTCACCAGATACACGGGAATTTCTCTACAGTGCGTTTATTGCATTATGGGGGTTAGAAGGAAGACTAGGGAAATGTAAATATATGAAGTCACAAACTATCAAAATTTCCCATACAGTTGCTTCATTGCTTGCATCTATCCATTTTCCATTGCCCATGGGATTTCTCATCCTGTCTGCTATCATAAAAATAGATTGCATTGGCTATGTGTTAATCTTGTTCCTGCCTTTATTTAACATACGGGCAGAATAAATTGCTTTAGTAGAATGACTTTTCTTATGAATCATCCTTTCCATGATTTATATATTCCTTTTTAGAAGTACCATGTTCCTTGCATGGTCAAATTAGAGATGGGTGCATTCTTCATAAAATTTGCCTCTTTAGTGAGACCTTTCCTGCTCACTCTATTTTAATAAGTAAGCCCAGGGGTGCCTGAGTGGCTCAGTAGGTTAAAGCCTCTGCCTTCGGCTCAGGTCATGATCCCAGTGTCCTGGGATCGAGCCCCGCATCAGGCTCTCTGCTCAGCGGGAAGTTTGCTTCCCCCTCTCTCTCTGCCTGCCTCTCTGCCTACTTGTGATCTTTGTCCGTCAAATAAATAAATAAAATCTTAAAAAAAAAAAAAAATAAAAAGTAAGCCCACACACCCAGCACTGACTAGAATTTTCTTTCTTCACCTTGTTTTCCCTAATAGTGCTTATCACCATCTGACATTCTCTACATTTGCCTATTTTCCGGATGGTCTTTTTCTTTCACCAGTACAACATGAGCTCCACACAGGCAGGGATTAGCTTCTGTTATCTCCACTACTGTAATTTTAGCATCTACATCTGTACATGGGGCACATTTCATTTATTTAACAACTATGTGTCAAATGGCTGAATTGCGAAGTCAGTGGAATGATAGAGGAAAAGAGAAACACTGTCACTGGAGAAACAATCCACGTATTTGTATTTCAAATATCTTCCAACTAAACTCTCATATATTCATTTGCTTCTTCTTAGTGAGAGATGGTTGGCCTCATGACAAATTCCCTTGTTATAAAACTGTGCTTATAATTTCACATATCTTATGTGATTTTCATACTTAAAAACTTTGCAGGGAGTTAGGATAGCTATTGTTACAGTTTTAGTATAATAATTTATCATTTATTTTCATCATACGTTTAGATGTAATAAGTTATATGCACCATATTTATAAATTCTTTATTAATAATAGTTATTATTAAAATAATGAGTGATCTCACATGTACCCTTACTAAGAAGAACGGGAGCATAGAAAGAATTCTAGAAGCCTTTGTCTGTAGTGGAAGAAGCTTATACTCTGAAGTTGAAGAAAGTCCTATGATGGTATACCCTACTTAGTTCCCATGAGAAAAGGTCTTGATGATCCTGTCCTGACGGCCTTTGCAGACATGTCGCCACACATAGGCCCAGCCCTAAAAAAAGAAGATGCTGAAGCAGAGTGAACATTCGAAGGCCACTGCCAGACTATAGCTAAAGGAAAAAGGAGATAAAAATTTTCACCCATTAATAATTAAATTTAAATTATAAAGAAATATAATGTTCTGCAGGATATTTTTTGGCTTTGTATTTGTTTGCTTTTGATTACTTTGGAAGAAGTCTGGAGCCCTCTGGTTATTTTGGAACAAGATAACCAAATATGGTTAATTTCACAGCAGGAAATATCTATCAAATTTATCCCCTCTTCCACCATATGGTTTTGAGATGATTTTTAAGCAGAAAGCCATCATGAGGACAATGAAATCAAATGTAACATATGGAAGGATAAACAATCTTAACAGGCAGAAATGACAAAGTAAAGAAAGCCCTTCCTACTCAAGTTGGCACACGGATGTTCTTTCTCCAATCTCACAGCCTCCCACTGCCAGAGGGTTAAAAATAACGACTCACGTTCTTATGGTTCACACACTTCATGAGGACCAGCTCCCGGTAAGCTCTCTTGGCGTGCGTTTGGTTCTGAAAGGGTCTGCTGAGCTTCTTAATGGCCACATTTCTGTCAAGAACAGCATCATACGCAGCACTGCAGGGATCCAAGAGCAATACAGAGTTAGGAACCAAGAAGCCCTTAGAGTTTCTGCCGACTAATATGAGTAAGGGGATGGGTAAAGAAAATACTATTTTGAAATCCTTCTCTGATACTTTCTCCTCAGGTCCCATGCCAATTAGGCTATGAATAAAGAACTAGAAGTGACTAGTATCAAACCATTCTACTTGCTAAGAAAAGAAAAAAAGGAGAGTATCTTGCCAAAAAACCACAGCATACAACTGCCTCCTTGAGTGGGAGACAAAAGAAAAAAAGGAAAGTGCTCTGCTTTCTACTGGTCCAGCCATGTGAATGTGGCAAGTCATTTAATCTCTCTGAGCTTGAATTTCTCATCTAATAATATGTGATATTTAGGTTTTCTCTAGCTATAAAACTCCATTGTTGTTTGGTTATTTTAAGTGAACATTATTCTTTCCCATTCACAGGAACCATATTCTAAGGTATGACATTCATTGCCATGAATGTAAATGTTGGTTGATGGTGAAGTGTGCACATTAATAATAATGAAGCTCAAAATAAGGAATGTAATCATAGGGTTTTTAGAAGCATAAATAACTGCATTTAAATACAAAGACAGGAATGAATGCCACTAACATTTGATGCTTTCAAACTATTTGAGAGTGAAAATTTGCCATGCTTTGAAAAGCAATCCACATACAGGACTGTTTCTCCCACACTCACAATATGTGGGTCTGGGGATCAAATAAGGAACTGAGTCTCTTCTTGGTATTATACCTAATGACTCACTCACAGATTTTCTGCTCCCCCATCCTTGCGGCTTCAGATGGTGTTGGATTTTGTCTTAATTGCCAGGAAGGAATGCAGCAATCAGTGTTCTCTACAATTGATCTGTTGACTTGGAAGTGGCATTAACTATGCAGTGTTCATGCCACTAAACTAAAACATCAAAAAGGGGTTACTGTATTGTAAGATAATGATGACTAGCAGGATAAGATTGGACAAGGTCTTATAGTTCATCCAGTCCCCGTGTCCATTTAATACTTATTTTTCCATTTGATACTTATTCTCCTCCAAAATATCTCCATAAAAAGTTTGGCCAGTCTCTACTTGAGCATCTCCAAAATCGTGATGTGTTAATATTGAGGCGGCTCATTATGTTGTTGAGAGTTAGAAATGTCATTATTCTAATAAGCAAAGTTGCCTCTATGGTTTCTAGGGACTTTCTCCGCCTACCAGGGTAACTCTTGAAGCAGAGTAGTCCCTTTTCCATTGTGGCATATCTATAATATCTGAAATCCATTAAAGGAATGAGCACAACCCTTGGTCTAGTCTATAAGCACCCAGTAGCTCTTGGCTCCTCTTATTTTTTCCCCTAAGTCTTTTCTTTCTCAAGCTAAACATTACTAACATCCTACCACAATTTGTCAGAATGTGATTTCAGGTCCTATCACCATCTGGTCAGTTTCCTCTGAATAAATTCCAGTCTGTTGTTATCTGAAAATGTGGATCCTGAACTGAATAAACATCGTGAGTCTAGGCATGGAGTATCACTGAAGATTAGGGGAGTGCTATCAACTTCTTTGTTCATTCACTAGCTCCGTCACTCCACCGACACAGTTAATAAAGCTAAGTCTGCCTTGGCTTTTTGATAACAATATCACACACTATTGATTCACAGTGAACCTATGTTAATTAAAAGTACTGTCTTTTTAAAAACCTGTGCTGCTTTCAAACTATTCAGGTCAGCACTGATTCTGCTGTTCTTGTGAACCTACCAATGGCGGCACAAGTAAAGGAAACAGTCAAATAGACCTACATCTTTTCAGTAGTGCCCAAGAACAACAGTGAATTTGGAAACACAGAAATAAAATTTGTTTTCTGTAGCTAAGAAATTGTATCAGCAGAAAATCAATTAAAACAGTCACCTTAAAAAGAAAGAATAAATTTTAGGCCAAAACAACTTAGGTGAAGTCATTAAATTATCTAAAGAAAGAATAACAATCAGTCATGTGGGCCTTAGAAAGGAATCAGAAAGGCAAATTCTGGCACGTCTGACTGAAGAAGTGCCCTTCCACATAGGTCCAGGGACCCAGTCAGTCAAGCAGATGTGTACATCTGTATTTTGATTGGCAGAAAATGTGGACAGTTAGCATTCTGACCAGCATCCCCTGATGAGGCTGAGTCTACCTTCTGCAGTCAACATTCTGATCACACTCTCCCTCAGATTTTTGCATGCAGGCATATTACCTATATTTGATCAGCTTGACTATTGCATTTCTCATGAGTTAGTAAATCAGCATCTGTTTTTTTTATAGAGCCTCTAGTGGATGTTTGTCAGTGTGAGTTTGAGTCCCTGAGATACCAGCCAGATCCCGAAGGACAGTGGGCCATCTTCCAACCTCATGTGGAATGCCTGAGAAAATGCCATGCTCTGGGGTTCCTGGCAAGTTCTGACCAGTGTCTCCCAGAAATGTTGTGGTTTTCTCCACACTAGTACCTCTTCCTTGAAGCTATTTTAGGTATGAATCTCAGCACTGCTGCTTACTAGATGTGAAGCTAGGGGCAAGCCACTTACACTCTCTGCCATTAGTTTCCTCACATTTAAAATGGAGATAACAGCCTGACAAGACTACTGCAATGAGTAAAAGAGGCAATAATGTATCTACAGTGCCTCACCAAGAGTAAGCTCTTAATAAATAATAACCATTCCTATTTTTAAAATCAGTATTCTTGTAGGAGTCATTATGTAATGGGGGATAAAATAGAACTTCCTATGGCATGTGCTACAATTGGACATATATCTACTACTAATCATCAGTTTTTAATCTTTCTACTAACTACAAATCCACTTAACTATATCACTCCCTTGACTGTATTTCCCAAGTTTGTCCCATGATATAAAAGTCTAGGGCAAAAAGTTAAGCTTTATTAAAATCTAGATATATTAAGCCATTTGGATCTACTAACACTTTAATAAGTTATCCAGTATGATTTATTTTTAATGAATGCTTTATTCCCGTGGTTGCTACATCCTTTCTTAATAGCTCACAAATGGTATCTTTTCTAACCAATACTAAGGTCAATGTCAAGCTCAGCAGATGTCTCTTATAATCTTTCTCTTCTCTTTAAAGGAATAAAAATGTTTGCCTGTCTACAGTTGAATGGAATACTCTGGTTTGGCTCACTGAATTTCCATTTGCCATCTTGTGTCATGTCTTCTAGGCTGGAAGAGACTTGGGAGTTAAATGTACAATTCCCAGATGCTTTTGTAGCTAGTGCTCCAGTCTCCAATAAGATCCTGCCACATTGATGCAACTATGAGAGATTTATAAGGCAAAAGAGAGGGTGGTCATTTTCTAGTGTTTCTTGGTTGGAAAGCAAGGCCTCATGGAGATGTGAAAGTTCCTTCTGCAAACAGTCATTCATTATCCAAATTCCTGGGTGAGAAGAGGGGTTAAAGGAAAGGCAACAGTGGATTCTAGATTCCAGGGCCCAGTCACCAGCATCGCGGACTAGTGACACCAGTAGTAACAAGGGCACAGTTTCAGCTCTAAGATTCCTAAATCTCAGTTACAATCATGTATTATAACTGGAAGCTCAGTGGTTCTTGGATACTCAGAGGTGGGAGGTCCCCTGGAGACTTAGCTCTCTAGTGTCTGGGAGTCATTCCAAGAAGCCCAGACTAAAGGCCACTTCTCCAAGCCTTCCAATGATTGTGAAAGCACCCAATTTACCGTGTTGCCGACTTTAAATGTTTCTGTCTCCTGCCATGAACCCCAGATGACACTACAATCATCCTGTCCTCTATAATTCCTCAGTGATTACTGGCAACAGTTTAGCAAATACCTCTGAAAATTGGCATCAGAAATTGATGTCTGAAAGTTCTCCGTTACTCTTGAGTCATTTTTTTTAAGAGTCTTGGTTCATAGCACCTTACTTTTTTGTCTTTAAGTAGTTTTTTTTTTCCTTTTATCATCATGCAGATAAGAGGTAAATCTTTATGAAGATTTTCCAGCAACTTCCAGCAACTTTCTAGCAATTTTGCTAAAAATTTTCCACAATTTCTTGATGCACAGTACTAACTCACCTCCACTTCTACCAGGCTTATTTATAAAAGAAAGATGTAGCCTTTTGTTGTTATGTTCCTGTCATTTAATGATGCTACAAAGTTAAATTAACTTCCTTGAATATATTTATATAAACACATGCATGGGGACACACACCTCTCTGCAGGCAATTCTTATTCTCAACATATTTAGGCAATTGCAGACAACCTCTTGCACAAATATTCATCTTCTTAAATAATCATTCATTTGATAATCTTTCTTGTTCCCTTTCCCTTTCACATTTAAAACATTGTTGGTCATATTAACATGTTTATGGGCCAAAGATAATTCATTTTTTAAATTTTATTTATTTACTTTAGAGAGAGAGTGAGATAGTGAGAGAGAGCGCAAATGGGGAGGAGAGAGAGAAGCAGGCTCCCCACTGAACAGAGAGCACAACATGGGTCCCAGGACCTTGGGACCATGATCTGAGCTGAAGGCAGACACTTAACTGACTGAGCCACCCAAGCACCCTGCCAAAAGATAATTTTTAAAAAATCTCTAGGCCTTATGATAACTTTATCTTAAAAAATTAAAAAAAAAAAACTTTAAAAACCTTATCATTGCAGCATCTTAAATGTCTTAAACAATAGCCCAGCAGGCCAGATTCCATCCTGGGGTAAACACTGCACTCTTCATTGCTCTTTTCTCTTTCCCACATTCTCATTTGACTTTTTCCAAAGGCCAGGACTTTAGTCAAAAACAACCAAAAAAAAAAAAAAAAAAAAAAAAAAATCTTCCCAATGCCTTTCAAAATCTTACTTTTATTCCCAAACATTACAGTCCCTAGAGATGCTCTGGAGATACTGATTCATTCCACTAAGGAGAACAGTGTTGGGGAACCTGCCAAACTCATCTCTGCCTCAGGACTTTCACAACCATTCCTACTTCTGCCAGGCAGGCTCTTCC